TGGAGAAATTTAGTAAGAGTTGTCAATCACTTTCTTGATTTAGAGAACAGTGAATTTATCATTGTCACTTACAATGGTTTACATTAACTACTGATCTACCAAAGCAGTGTTCACATTCTCTCAGTTAAATCCAGCGTTAATTTTCCAAACCCAAAATATGAACTGCTTTGTTTGCTTAGACGAGTAGCAACCAAGGACCAAGTGTGTCTTGTAGACACTTCTAACCACTTCTCTATACACGCTCCAATGAATCGATAGGTTAAGTAAAAGTAAACATATCGTAGGAATCGTAAACATTTTCCCTGCCGTTCTTTTTAAAAAGTAGCACAGATTGCTGTCAATCATTTTTAGAGGAAATCAACAAAATTCGTTTTTCCACCAACCGAGGAATTTTCAAAAAATGTCATTCTATATCCTCCCATCGGTTTACCGCCTCATGGTGGCTGAGAGGTGTTCCTAGATGTCGGACAGCGATGTATAGCGGGGATTCATCCCCTGACAGGGTTTCCCAAGCTGAGAAGAAGTCCGGCGCTTCAATCAGGAAGCCTAGCTAAGAGTAAACTAACACCAGGATCCACCACCACCCTGGCATCAAAGTCGCATGGTGGTAAATCTCCCTATGATCCACAAGGGTTGCGACTGCTTGTGGTGGTGAAGATCTGGAGCAGACTTTGGCAGGGCGACCTCGGGACTCCAGAGAACCGTAATGCCTTAACCAGCAAATTTCCGGAAAAAGGAGATTATGCTAGAGCCCGCACAACCAGGGACGGCGAGCCATTCAAATGTCAAGTCAATATCAAGTCATGTTCTTGTTCTCATCGTTATCTCTGATGGCATAACATCAAGCTATGGTAAAGAATAGACTGAGATATTTTTGCATATGTGGAATTCGAGGAGCTCTATGAGTGGTACTTCACATTTTTACTGTTTTACTACTACAGATCTCAACAACAGAATTACTACCAAAGCTTTTTGTATTGAGGCCTGTGTATAGAAATGATAAGGGTTAATAAGAGAACTTCACAGCTTTCCAAAACAGAAACAACAATCTTACAGGTTCATCTATGCGCCGAGTGTAGTTTGTATTTAGTGATTCCAATTAACTAACTTACTCACTTCATAACTGAATGACCCTTCCTCACTGTTTGTGCGGGCCCTAGCATAGTCTCCAAAAAAAATGGGAAAAAAAATGGTTAAGCCATTGTGGTTCCCTGGAGTCACGTGGTTTCACCACCACAGGCATTCGCCGCCTTGTGGATCAGAGGGAGGTTTACCATCACACGACTTTGATACCAGGACAGTGGTGGATCCTGGTATTGGTTTACTCTTAGCAAGGCTTTCTGATGAAATTGCCGGACTCCTTCGCAGCTTCGGAGACCCTGCCAAGGGATGAGTGCCCTGCTGTACATCGCAGTCCGACACTCAAAAGCCACGATGTGGCGGTAAACCGTTGGGAGGGATTCCAACTAAAGAGTAATGTAAAGGCAATACAACATCATAATCAGACATTACAACACCCATGCTTTCTAACGCTTGCAGCTCGAAAGCTGACTTCTCGAAAAGTGGATGAAAATTTTTTGGAAATCAGAATACTTGGGCCAAAAACATGATCAGTTTATAGAAAATACAACGTTCAATCTATCAGAGAGCACGTTCAGCCTTCAGACCAAGCATGCTTCTTTAAAATTGTTATCCGTTCCTTTAAAATTGTCCTCAGTTAAAATTTCAAGAAGAAATGGAAGGGAAATATAAATTTTTAAGATGAGAAAGGAAATCACTACAATAACAAACATCAATGGTACATTTGAGAACACCACCGTGTTCTTCTAGAGCAAACACCACTCGTTGAAACACTTTCATTTCTGACATACGAGATTCAACGAAGAAAGAGTACGAAAAATTCTTGGTTAGTCCCAGAGAATCAATATTTCTAAAGAAAGAGATTTTATGCTGCAAGCAAAGACCTTTATTTTCTAACGCTTCTATTGCAACGAGCAAGGTTGACTTCACACCCAGATATGTTGCATTAGATTTGAAAGTGGCCGTTGTTTTCGAACTGTTTGAACAAAAATTAATTCCTTCTGTTCCTACGTGCTGGTGTTCACCGGTTCATTGCATATTCAAGGTCTTACAACAAAGTTTGTTCTCCCATACTTGTTTAAAAACCTCCCAACTTTAAATGACGTGCATACGAAGCCCAGAACCTCTTCCACGATTTCGGTGACACCGTAACCTGTAAATAGGTTCATGTTTAAGCTCACTTTAGGCTTGAGGATCTATCGTCTTTTCTCATCAAAGAACCAACAGAATGTTAACTGCTGGTCAAGAGTGGTTTTCTTTAGAGCACCAAAATAAGCTCGTTAAGGCGGTCCTAGAACCTGATCATAGGGCACTCTTCGTCTTCAAAGCGTCGATGATAGGTTTGTTGTCTTGCGACGAAAACTCTTCCAGGTGGGACCAAGGCGTTCGTGTTTTGCAGCTACTATATAGTAATCGAAAGGTACATTAAAAATATTATGACGATAATGATGGCGATTACGAGGAGAACGATATAAGAACGATAACAACGAACCATTGTGCATTAATTTCCAAGTCTTGCATCAAAGGTAGAACCTCTACGTCATTTCCATAAATTTCTTCTTACCTGTTCTAGATCGTTCAGTGATGTAAAGGCAAGATTCTCAGATGTAAAATAACTAATCTGAAGAAAATTCACGGTGTCGTGAAAAGCTGTATACGTATGGATGTATTGAAAGCACCCACTTCGAAAAGCTGTCGTTCTACAGTAGAGCGACAGGCGATGCTTCGTTGAAGTTCCTCAAACGTCGTATTCAACACTAGCACGGTGAAGATTTTTCCAACCAATACCGTCTATTTACAGATGTTTTAGGACTTGATCTATTAAGTAGAATCGCAAACTCCACCATGTCTTCTATCTCCCAAGGATCACGTTCGATTTGATGACGTTCTTTCCTACTTGAAGCTTCACCCTATTACCCTTTCTCTCACTACACCAGTTCCCTCAGCCCTCCACTGCTAACATACCTTATTAAGAAAATATCCGTATGACTAATTGTACCAGGATCCATCACCATCCTGGTATCAAAATAGTCGGTGGCAAATCTTCCTCCGATTTCTATTGACACGGTACCGCAACGGCCCTAACACGGCGAGCAAGCACGGAATTCCATAATGTGGCTCAAGAGTGGGCCTCTATAGCGTTACGGTAACGCAGCGGATTTGATATGGTACCGCAACGGCCCTAACAGGGCACTAAACGAGCCTAACATTGCATTCCGTACTCTTGGCTCGAAAGCTATGTTCTAGGGTGCCAAGGCACTGCAACGGGCTTGACACGGAAACCCATAATGTGGCTCAAAAGTGGGCCTCTAAGGTGCTGTGGCACCGCAGAAACGTTAAAATAACTGAAAAAAAAAACTAAAAGTAACATTAAAAAAAGTACTGAACTATTGAAATGGTGAACAACAAAACAAAAGCGATAAACGTTTACTATAAAAACCCACTCATAAACTTCACAAAGACAGAAACTTCGATTGTTCTCGAATCAACCATCAATCCTGTGGAAATTACCAAATAGAGAACAACAATGCAACAACGAAGAGTTCTTTGAAAAATGTACATGAAAATGTAATCGCAGAAATAAAAACGAAAAACGGTGCTTTTTACACCAAACAAATACTATAAACTAAACTATAAATAGGAAATTAGCCGTAAAATATATATGAATTTGCAAGATGCGGAAAATATCCGCCTCTAAAAGAGAGTTCAAAAAGGAGTTTATTCAATTGGAGAGATGATTAAGGACAACCAGGAATGAGATGTTTAAAGAACACGTTCTGGTACGCATAATATGATATACAGTAACATAACATAATATAGTATAATACATTGTGATTTAACGCAGTCCAGCTTTAGCATCATCAGAGGCACTCTTCGCGCTGAAAATTCCGACACCTCATCACTGCTTGTTCCGCTTTTTTCGAGCTTCTTTACACTGATCACAGTACCATTTACCTGCAACGGTCGAAACAACAGTGTATACCGGTCAACATTTTGATAAATTAATACAAAAGGAATATCGCAGAAACAGAAGAGAAAAACAGCAATGACATAAAACACTAGAGCTGAGATAAGCATAAAACTAAAGCTCCTACCAACTGGAGAAGAAGTCAGGCCAACACACTGGAAGTGAAACCACTCATTTTTGCAGTCAGGACCATCACAGGCAACCATTTGACCAAATGACACCTTAAACATTTCACCATGCTTACCGCCTAATTCACCATGCACAATACTTGGACTTATTTGATACTTATTTACTTATACTTATTTAGACGGCCGTCCTCAACGTCCGTGTGAACCTCAGCATAATCTCCACTTTTTGGAGTTTTTCTGGTTTAGCCATTGTGTTTCCTTGGAGTCCTGAGATCAGCTTGACCAAAGTCGGCCCCAGGTCATCCCCACCAAAGGCAGTCGCCGCCCTTGTGGATCAGAGGGAGATTTGCCACCATGCGACTAGCTTGATACCACTACGGTGGTGGATCCCGGGATTGGTTTAGTCTTAGCTGTCTTAGCTGGGTTCCCTGATAGAAAAGTCGGACTCTCTACCAGCTTAGGAAGCCCTGCCTGGGAAATGAATCCCCCGCTGTATATCGCAACCCGACAACCAGGAACTCCTCCCAGCCACGACGAGGCGCTAAACTGTTGGGAGGCACCATGTACAATGCATAATTGAAAACAAATAAGAGGTAGGTGGGACACGAATAAAGTCAAGAAATGTCAAGCAAAATAGTAGACACTACGGTTGCACCAACATTTGTCGAATTCATAAACGTAAATTTCCGAAAAATAGATAAAAGACGAAAAAGTAAAGATATGGAAAGAGACTTCTCTAATTCACAAACTATTCATGAGTTTCATTTCAAATGGATAAACGGTAAGAAAGCTAAGGTATTGAAAAAACTTTTTTGATTGATAGATCATTCAGGAATTTCAATACAACCAAGAGCGTTCGAAATAAAACCGACCTGATGGCAAAAACAATACGTAGGCTCATTGGGATCAACTGGCATATCAACTGGTGTTATGGCGGATTGCTTATATGGATCAGTGAATGCAGCTGGAACAAAAGCGCGAGATGTATTACATAAAAACTGCGGAACTAAAGTAAAAGAGAAACGCTAACAATTCTCAGCAAGACGAGTTGCTTTGGCATCGACAGGCCTTTTCCTTTTTTCTGTCCTCACACTGGCCGCACTGGATTTCCTCTTTTGAGCATCCGAGGACGAACCTGACTCATACGAAAATTATACATTTGTGGCTGTAACAATAAACTATATGAAACTCTAGTTCCTAGAGGTCGCAATCGCAAACATCCTTCACACGTTTACCCACTTCATTTACTGCTTCGCCATAAGAGCGTATGAAGGGCAATGGTAGGAGGCCTCCTGCAATACATATGGGATCGATACCCGCTCCCCAAGCCCAAGTAATATTTCACTTAAAATAGAGGGCTTTGTATCGGATATGGTTCCAAGGGCGCAGTGGTTGGAGGCGCCACTGCGACACATACGTTGAATCGATCCCCGCACCCATGGCCCACCAAGCCCTCCATCCGTCCGGGGTCGGAAAATTGGTACCAAACTTGTCTGGAAGGATAGTATCAGCGGCTCGAAACATTGTTAGGCTACCGCGAGTCATTGTAAAGGCCAGATATGCATTAAATCACCTCCAAACGATGCTTAGTGAAGTGGAATGCGTGGCGCATCCCTCAGCGATTGATCAACATCGAGACCTTTACCAATTTTTATCCCTTATGTTTCATTAAATTTTCGTAGTATTTTCGAGTCGGTAAACATGTTTTTGTCGTGAAATTCTAATTTCGGAGTGGAAAAGCAGAACACTACTCTTTGCTAGAGAATAGGCGAAAAACTAAGATGACGAAAAAAACAAGAGAAGAGTTAACAGGTTACTATGATATTGAATATAATAGGAACGTTGTAGCCCACAGTGCCAACAATGCGAGACTGTGTAGCCAGCCAGGATGATGTTCAGTTAATCGCATTTATACCAAGACTGAATTCCCTACCTGCGCTCTCTGGATGATCCGCGTTATACTTCTTGCACTGAAACTCGTGAAATTCAGCAATTTGCTGGTCCATCTCTTTGATATGTGTGTCGATTACATCGTATAACTTCTGTGCTAGTTTAACCTTTCTTTCACTGAGCTTGTCTGCTTCTCTATACATTGCCTGAAAACACAAACAACATGGTTTACGGATTCACCCAAGGTCAGTAGCGTTCGTGGTAAGTGCACTAACCCCTTGGAGGGTAGATAAAACTCAGACGTGGAATGATTTGGAGATTTTCACTAGGAACAGCCATGGCTGAACTAAATAACTTCCCCAAGATTATCCCGTCGTCATGAAATGTAAAAAAAAACAATCCAAAACAATGACGTCATACCAAAAAACACGACTCTCCTCGTGTTGGTGTCGAACAAATACCATTCTTTTTCTAACTAACATTGAAAGGATAAACGAATGTAAATGTACAGCGGTTAGAAGTGCCCGTGGTTGGCGGCCCAGATCCATTCATATATACCAACTCTTTTAATGGTTCTTCATTTAGCCACTTCAATGGGGTCTTAAGTCATGGTTTAAGAAACTGCCGTGTGGGAAGCCCATACAGATAAACCGTATGGAATGAAAACCGCTAATAAAGATATCAAACATGGACCGAGATTTAAATACTTACTACCATCGTGAATCCTGCGCTCTCCCATTTAAAACCACTATCGAGCCTCGTTTAACTTAAATAGTATTTACTTGGATACTAGGACGGCCTGTCCTCACTGCCGGTGACAGTATAATTTCCACTTTTTCAGAGTTTTGCTGGTTTACCTACTGCGTTTCCCCGAGGTCGACATGGCCTAAGTCTGCCCCAGGTCGTCACCACCTGAAGCTGTCGCCGCCCTTCTGGATCACAGGGAGCCTTGCCACCATGCGACTAGTTTGATAGTTTGATACAGGACGGTGGTAAGTCCTGATATTGATTTATTCCTAAATGGGCTTCCTGATAGAAACACCGGACTCCTTATCAGCTCGGGAGACCCTACCGGAGGATGAATCCCCCAGCCGTGTATCGCAGTTCGACACCCAGGAACACCTCCCAGCCATGAGGTGGTAAACAGTTGAAACGAATTTAAATATTAAAAAAAGATATAGCACAACTAATGCTCTGAAGAACTTTAAGGCCCAGCCACCGTCGTGAACAATCCCTAGTCTACGGAGGTAAATGTTGAACGGCACTTCAACTTTCTCACCTGATTACGACCACAACTATATAAGAATTGTGCGAAAGAGAAATAGAGAAAGAGTCTGACTAGAGAAACTACTACAGCTGTGCAAGAACATTTGAGGAGTACTAACCTGAGTCTCCTTATACCACTTTGTTTTCTGTTCCTTTGTGAGTTTCTTCAAATTTTTAATATGTGCAACCATTTGAAGCTGGATCTCGTAGACGATTTTCTCGACCTGAACCTCGTAACTCTACATTTACGACAAGCAATATCAAATTAAACTGGGAAGAAGAAGCAAATCACTTACCTTCTCATCAAGCTCTCGAATCTCTTCAGCACTTTTGACCATGAGTGGCGGCAGCTCATCTAGTTTATCCAAATATTCTTTCAACGGTTCTACCATAGTTGGTCACAGGAAACAAATATACAGCACCCGAGAAGAAAAATTAGCTAGTATAAACGGCGAGTTAGAACCACCATTCGGATTATAGCACGCCAAAGACAACTCGTCCGGTTCGAGTGCGTCAATGCATCGCACAAGGCTGGTATGAGCCCAACGTGCTCTATTGATAATTTCTGACCGAAAGTAGAGTGAAAAATGCACACTTACAGCACTTTCATCCCATTCTTTCATAAGCAAAGCTGGCTAGGATGTGCTTATCGATTAATATTTTTGCTATCGAATATGTTTCCTGTTGAAATCCAGTTTTAAACAATTTGCCATAATCGTCATAAACAACACAGGAAAGGATAAAGTATAGAGCTCCCAGCGTTGATCAATCCCTGAGGGATGCGCCATGCATTCGACTTCATTAAGCATCGTTGAAGGTGATTGAAGGCATATCTGGCGTTTGTAATGACTCACGATGGCCTACCGATGTATCGAACCCGTGGTGCTAAGCTCCCAGACAAGTCCTGTAGCAGTGTTCCAAACCCGGCGGTGCGGAAGGCTTGGTTAGCCTGGGCGCGGGGTTCGATCCCATGTCTATAGCAGAGCGCCTTCGACCACTGCGCTACACGCGTCTTTAGCACAAGAAGGCTGTAGTAGTAAATTAGCGCGAAGATAACTTTATTAGAAGTTAAGTACATAGGAGTTAAAGAGGATTTGCAAGTGCGTTTATTATAAAATCAACACTTTCATTCTCGTCTCAGTCAAAAACGTACCATTTAAGGAAAATTTTATGGTTTTTGTGCTACGACGTTTCAAAACACAAATTTAACCTTTGAAGGAAGCTTGATCGGTGTAATCATTTCTAACCAAAGAATAACAAAAATGACGAAAAAGTAGGGTCTCGTGAAAATTGGCATAGCTCGGAAACTGAAGGTACCATCATATTTCGTCAGTCAGTTGACTTTAATCCGCTGTCATTTCTGAATACTAGACATCATCTTTTTTACTCTTTCAGTGAATTCTTCTTAAGTTTTAACAGTGATGATATGGGAATATCCCTTAAAGACAGTATTTTTCAATAATCGAAGCAAACAAAATCGAATTTATTCGACTAATCGGATAACCATCAATGCTTTGGAGAGCCGTCCTAGGTCGCTAGCTTTCCTCATGGGTGCTCCCACTCTCTGAAAGCTAACTCAGACCTGGAAGGAGTTGGAGATATTCACTCGGACGAGCCACGGCTGAACCAGGTAAACTGCACGAGACTACTTTGTCGTCCTGAATGGTGAAAGAATAATCGGAAATAATGACCCAATATCGGGAAAAATGGTGCTCTTCGTATTTCTGTGCACCTCGAGTCAATCATTTATTACTTTCTTCTAACTAAGATTAAAAGCATAAAACGAATGGAACTGTGCAGTAGTTAGATTTGCTTGGGGTCACTTGTTCCATCTCGCTACTCATGCAGACCAAGTCCCCCACTCATGTGGTATCATCACTTTGGTATCAGACTTGTCTGGAAGGATAGGAAGCAAAAACTTGATACATTAACAGATCCTCACAAGTTACCCTATACTCCAAATATACATCAATGGCCACCATAATGGATGCTTAATAGAGTCGAATGTGTGGCACAACCTGAGAGAATATTCAACGCCGAATACTATAGTTCCTTATTCTTTATCACATTCTTAAACTTCCATCTCATCCTAACGGGTTACCGCCTCATCTTGTCTTGGAGGTGTTCCTGAGTGATGGACAGCGACGTACAGCGGTGGGATTCAATCACCCAGCAAGGCATTCCAAACTGAGAAGAAATCCGGCTTTTCCACCCGGAAGCCCAGCTACGAGTAAACGAACTACTAGGAATCAACACTATCCTGGCATCAAACTAGCAGCATAGTGGCAAATATGCCTCTGATCCACAAGGGCGGCGGCTGCCTATGCTGGTGACGGCCTGGGACAGACTTTGGCCTGGCTGACTTTGGGACTATGTAATTTATGCTGGAGCCCAAGCTGTGAAGGCACCCAATCCAAGTATCCAAGTAAAGTAAATATACTTCCGACTGCAAGAACCAATCAATCATCAATGTGTGTACATGAGGTGTTCTTCTCTCTGATCAAATCGATGCCCGATGAGAGCGGCGGCGACTGGCGACGACTTGACTTATCGTCGTCGCCTACTGCGCCACTCTCCCTGATGTATGCGGCACTCACTCGCCGCCGACCCCCTTCGCTCTGTACACACTCGCGCCGTCCCTCTGATGTTCGTCTACTAGTTCGCGTCACATCCATTTATCATATCAATATGTTGAGGAATCCTTCAACTATCCAGCTTCATTATATTTATTTATATGTTCTTATCAACTGATCTTGCTGAGCTGATGCGAGGTTGGTACAAGTCGTCGTTGTCGTTGTCGTCGTTGTTGTCGTTGGTCGATGGCTGACGTTTCGGCGATTTCGTTTTCCTCAGAGCCTGGACGTATTTCATACAATAGTAGTTTAATTATTCGGTGGTAAAAAACCAAAGTATTATTGGAGATCTAACATATAAATAAACGCCATATTGATAAAAAACTACTCGTCGTGCTGTTACGAGTAGGACTACGTGCGTGTTGTTCATGTGGGATGGCGAGCAAAACCCACCCAAGGGTAAAAATATCATTTTGAATTAAGGCGCCAGGTCACACATGATAGTGAGGCATTCGTCTTTCCGGTTCCTCTTTGGATTTTTGAAATTTATCCAAAATGCCTCAAGAGTTTGCACATTGATGTTGTCGATTCCTCCGCTAGGACCCGGACATTCACTTCAAAATCATCGTCATTGTGCTTATGTGCCCTATGTATAGCTAGAGGAACGCTTTGACTAATTTTAACTTTCCCATCTAAGTGTTCCTTTATGCGAACATAGAGCGGTCTAACCGTTTCCGGAATTTGTTCTTTACCGCATGCCTTGCACGTGATCAAATATGTTGTACCTGAACTCATGCAATCGCCGTCTCTCCATTTAGGACTGATCACACAGTTTTCTTAGCTGCACAAACGATTACTGAGGCCGTTGCGTACTTACTGACGGCGTAGAGTATTGTGTGGGAGGTCGATAACCGTCACAGAACTTTGAAAACCACTTTTTCTTAGGCACCTCTTAATGGCGTAAATTATTTCATTTGATATGAAGTATAGCTTACTAAGGATCTTACTTAGGTTCGAAACATTATTTTGGGGGGCAATCCTACTTTTTGGTCTGGCCCCAGTGGCTTCTGCTTTGTAGGCATTGCAAATGGCTACTTTTCGCACAAAGTTTAACTATTCCTTCCATTACTCTTCTCCTGTGCACGAATTTTTAGCCGTTCGGTACATTTTTTGATGAGCGGTCTGTTTTCATGTGTTTCTGAGTTATTCAGCATTTGTATGGTACTCGACTGCTGACGATGTGACTCGACCCGGGTTTCTTCATCAATACCCTATCTTTCAACGGTTTTTCATTTGATCACTTTTGCAAAGTCTTAAGTCAGAGTCTGTTATGGTCGTAAATTATTGCTCTGTGAGAAGCTCGAACCGATGAATCCGATAACTTATCTGAGGATTCTTGCCTTCATCTTCCCACATTGTTCGTATACTTTCAAAGCTATCGTAACCCTCTATGGTCAGGTTATCAAGCACTATATCATGCATAAATTGTCGTTGTTTGGAAAGTTCACAAACGTAGAGTTTATGGCCTTTCAATTTCTTCTTTTCTCTTTCTATTTCACTTTATCCTTCCCTTTCAATCTATTTTTTTATCTTTATTTTTCTTTCTATTACTTTTCTCTTCCTTGTCTTCTTTCTCCCATTTATACCCATCTACCAGTTTTATTGACATAAACTTGTGCGAATTATTAGACGGATATCTTGAAATCTTATTTTAAAACTGGCTGATTGTTTAAGAACCTAGACCCAATCCAAGCAACCCCCAAGTCGAGGTCTTTTAGCCCATTTTCTAGAATGAAAACTGATTTAAATCCCTCCTTTCCTTCAATTTTTCATTTCTTATGAATTTTCGTAGCACCCATCTGTTGCAATTCTATCGTTTGATGTTCTCGAATCAATCCTGATGTTTTCCGCAATTAATAACTCCTTTAGAAATAGATAGATAGAAAACTAACTAGGAGAAGACTAAACGAAAGACCCGCATGGTGTGGTGGTGAACACGTTAGAAAGGGTGGTAGTGTGTTCGATCCTCACCGCAGTCACCTGCGGTCCGGAGTTTTGCAAATATCTCAACATCGTTATTGTATTCCACATAATATCTTGCCGTGAAAAATTGTAGTAGGCAGTAAATAAAAGAGTTACCATAATAACTCCTTCACAATAGTAGTTAACTCCAGGAAGTTTTTAAACGATTAATTTCACGATGTTCAATGTTAAGAAGTCAATGATAATGAAATTTATGAACGTTGAAAACGTTTCCCAACACGGAAATACCGTATGAATCGTACGTGGGTACTAATCGATATCTGTACTTGGTACGGAATGCAAAATATGAGAAGATTTAGGGTATTTAACTTGCAAAAAGTTCTTTTTTCACATTAAACCTAGTTCTTCCTTAAGATTTAGGGATGCTTTTTCCTATTGCTCACAACACGTATGAGTACTCTGAAAACGAAATTCGAAATCTGGAAAATCAGGAACGAGTTTTTGCAGGTTTCGAACTCCTACAGTATCCACAGGATGACAAGCGTCGGCGAAAAAAAAGGGAAAAAAATGATGGAAACTGTGTGACAATGTCTAGATTTAGTCGCTGGCCGAACGTCGTCATTAGGTCATTGTTGGGGAGAATGAGAGATGGCGGCGACTCACTGACGCCATTTTCTTCTCATTGTCTCGGTCCGTTAATGGGATTGTTGCTATCATCTCTCATTTCTTCCCCCTTTTTCCCTCTCTAGTTTCTTCTTTTCCTTCTTTTCCTGTCTTTCTATATGTGCATTCATCTCAAGCTGTAAATTCCTAGTTTGTTCAGCAGTAGCGATAAT